AGAGCTTGGAAGTGTTTGATAATAGTAGTCGCAATGGCAGATGTTTCACTGAAGGTACCATAACAAGTGTAGATCTCCTTAATGAAGTTAAGGTTATCCCCACAATGAAACTTCCCATAGAGAAATTTGAGATCATCTTTCCCATTAGAGAGCCATTTAACCTTGCTTATTTGAGCAATCCATGAGGACCAATCAAAATGAGTACTGGTAAGCTTAACCCCAATAGACTTAACAAAAGTGTTAAGGGTAGGGTTGGATGGATTTAGGTTCAATCACTGAAGACAAATCAAATGCTCCTGGTTCAAATTAGTAATAATCTGGGAGAGGTTGGTATAGGTGGCCCACGGCTTGGCTTTAATATTAGTTTTAAGATATTTCAGCTTAGTGTATATGTTAGAAATAGGATTGCCTAAGCAGAGTTAAGAGAACACATAGATGAGGGAGTCCCAAATTTGAGGGTTTTTTAACCAAAAACTTTTAAATTGAAATATCTAAAACCATAGGAAAGGGGCTTAGTGGAGAGGAATATTAATGGGGAGTGATTATAACACCTTGGACTTTCAACTTTGTAGTAAGAAGTTGGGAATTTTTACAATCAAACCTCATTTATAAACATCCTATCAAGTTTAATATGAATTGAGCTGTTTGTCCTTTGATTGAATTAAATGTACGTTAAGCTAATAGAGGCAAGCTCAATAATGCTAGTGTCAAAGGTGATGGAATTGAGTTCCCAAAGCTTACAAGGAGCGATGGGATTAGCACGCACTTTCTCATGAGCATAGAGACAACAGTTAAAGTCTCCCATAATAATCCCTGGAAAACAAGTTCTCCTCAAAATATTTTAATTATTTCCAAAGAGCAGCTTGGTCTTCCATAAAGTTAGAACAATAATTAACATAAAAGAGGGAAGGGATCCATAAGAGATGGAGCAATGAATAGCTTGGTTGGTAATGGAAATAGGCATAAAGAAAAGAGAAAAAGCATTCCATTCAAACCAAATCTTGCTAAGGTTGGAAAGGGTGAAATTACACAACTTCCCCCAGTCTAAAAAAATCTTATGAAGCACTAAACCATAGATCAGCAATTTGAACAGCCTACACCTTGTTTTCAATGATGCAGAGGATGACTACTTTCAAAGTATTAAATATGTCCTTACAGGAATGGACTTTTTGAGGGTTGTTAAGGCCCCTCACATTCCAAGAGGACAGTGTTGGGCGTGTCAATGATTTTTGGAGGTTGAGGGGTTTCCTTTTTTTGGAAGATTTGGTCCTTGTGGATTGGAAGGCAGGATTAGGATTAGGTTGAGAGGGAAGGTCTGGTGGTGGATCCTCTTAAGAAAGAATGACAAATTTGTTTTTGTTTTGGAGAAGGTTATTTAAGGTAGACTCTAGAGGAGACATCTAGAAGCTCAGATGGGGAATTAAGGTTAGGGATTATTACATTACCAGAGGTGGAGCCAGAGGAGTGTGAGGGGTTTGTGTCAGTGTGAATGATTGGGGGATCAGGTGGGTTAGTAGGGGGATTATCCATTCTAGTTTGGGATTTTTGAAAATTGAATAGGCTGGCATTATTGATCATAGTAGATGGAATCAGCACATTATAGGGGATTACATTAGGGTGGGATTATAGCATGTGATCAATAGTTATTGGGTTGGGGATCATCTACGTGCCATTGACTAGGGAAGGCTGCTTGATTCTAGGCTTCATATTTCTATTTCTACCTCTAATGCGAGGGCTATTGTTAAGGGTAGGGTTTTTATAGAAAAGGTTAGCAATGTGGACAAAAGAGCCACAAACCATGTATGGGGCAAGTTTTTAGTCATACTAGATGGGAAGGGTAAGTTGTTTTCCTACCAAGGAGATGTTAATTTTGTTTAGAAGGGGAGAACCATTGGATACTTAGCACAAACACATTCGAACGTCAATCTAGTTTTTCGATTGTCTAGTGATCAATAGTCTAGGAAGTACTAATAAAGCTAGCAAATCTTAAAATTTTCCTTCAGAATTCTAGTAAGATAAGGGAAGGTCGTGGATTTTAAGCCATAGTGGGATGGATAAGAAGTCATCCCATTTTAGTTAGAAGAAAGGGGTGACTTTTGGAGAATAAAGCAAGAAAAATCATCCAATTAGGAAAAAAAGTGAAAGAGTGTCTTTCAACAACCATGACTTCTTAATGGAGGCATGTAGAGCTTCATAATAAGGTCATTTGCCAATGGAATAACCAACCAGCGAGAGGCCCCATTCCGCCGAGCCTTTGAAAATTTCCTCAACCATGAAGAAGATGATATAGTTGGGATGGGTAATAAAACTCATGCGGAAGGTTTGGGAACTAGAGAAGCCTAAGAAAATATATTTTTCCAATTTAGGTTAGGGGTTTTGAGAGAGGATTTTTGGAGGGGGAGAGAGGGGTTTAGGATATGTTAGGGTTAGGGTTAGAGAAAGAGGAGGCCAAGGAGTGAGAAAGATGAGGGAAATCATGTTGGAAAGCAATGAAAGCAATGGTGGAAGGGAAAAAGAGGTGGCGATGGCCAGGGTTTTTCTGCACCAGTTTCAAAGGGAGGGGAAAAGGGAAACACAAGACCATGGCAAACAAAAGGGCAAGACAGTTAGGGCAAACTTGATTTTCTTTCGATTTTAAGAATTCCCTTAAAAGAGTTTTAATAATACCCTCCATTAAAATGAAAATCATCTTATATTGACTCAAACATATGAAAGCACACAATAAATACTGAATAGCATCTTAAAGACAACTAATTATACACAACTCTCCTTGGTCTATTGGTTGAAAGCTTAGGCTTCCAACTAAGAGGTCCAAGGTTCGAGTCCATGTGTTTGCGTTGTGTGTGTGAGTTTTCCTTAAATGGCCTAAATGTCCCAAAAAAAGACAACTAATTATTGAGCAGAAAGAAAAGCTTGCCTGAAGCACTTGAAAATGGTTTGGATCACCTTTATTAGCTATTAAAAGTATGAGTGTGATTTGAGCCCATCTTACATGCTCACCACATTTGAAATAATGTTGAATCAAATAATATTCAATAGAAAATAAATTGAACATTATTTAAGGCTATAACTTAATGATACATTCTAAATATGAGATAAAATTAAATTTGATCTACTAAGTTTTCCAAGTAAATCCTTTGAGGAGAAATTTGATTAAACCCTTTGAGGAGAAAGGTAAAATAAATCAAAAAAATTATTTTGATTTGAAGAGAAAATATATATAGAAAGAGAGAGAGAGAGAAACCTTGATCTAAATGGTATAACCAGTGATCATTTATTCATTTGACTATGTCCAACACATGAACCCTTTGAATAGAAAGCTAAAATAAATCTAAAAAAATATTTTGATTTGAAGATAAAAAATACAAAGAGAGAGAAAGAAAGGAGAAAAGAAAAAAAGAAACCAAGATTTAAATTGTATAAAAAACCAGTTATCATTTGATCAAGTCCAACACTTGACCCTTTATTTATAAGTTGAGCTAAGATCAATGTTGCAAAATAAATTACATAATACTCAAAATACCCCAAAAATACTCATAATCAGAGCTATAAAAGGTCATAAAACAACCTAGTTACCTGTCAACAGGTCAAGGTCAAGTATGAGCAACCTAGTTACCTGTCAACAGATCAAGGTCAAGTATATGACTAAGAAATTCTTCATTAGCTTAATAGCATCACAAATGAGGAAGATAAGGCAACAGGTTCAAACATCTTCATTCATGCATAACTGAATGTTTTTAACACATATGAGGCAGCAGGTTCAAACATCTTGAACTCATAAAAATCAGTTAAAATCTGCTCATTAATTGCTTCACCAAACTTGGATGAATGATTATACCCAACTAATCAATATATTCAACGGACAATAGCTATGATGGACCCAAATATTGAAAGAGATAGTGACCATTCATTAAAAATGAATATGTTCATTTTCATTTGTTGTGTCTTCCTTTATCAAGATTCGAACATCATGAAAATAAGAAAACACAAAAGAAGATATTCGACAAGACATTAAATGGCACATTTAATGCTGTGCTTGGATAAAAGGAAATGATGCCATGAGAAAGTAAGGTATTATTTCAAAAGTTTATTAACCCAATTGCTTAGCTTAGGTTGGTGGGTGAGTTCGATTGAGACCCTCCACTCGTACTCGATTCCCCTCAAGCAACAATACCTCTTAAATGAGGCCCAATCAAGTGTGGACCAAGAGATTTTTGAGATGAATGCCTTGTCTAGGTTGGCTGATGATTAGTCATGCCGCTAAACACCATTTCGAGGGTGACAACGCATGAATACCCCATTCAAAAAAAAAAAAGTCTTAATCCAATTTTTTAATACAAAAAATTTAATGTTTTTGCTAAAAAATTATGTTAAAAAGCGATAAAAAAATCACCGAAATGAAGCTAAGGAATCGTTCGGGATAACTTTCTTACTGTTTATTAAATTAGCTTTCTAATACAAAAATTTTAACACTTTTGAAGCAACAAGAAATAAGTTCCAAACAAAACCTAAGTTGTTTCAACTTATGATGGGTATTAGTTTTTAGGGCATCTCCAACAAAAAAAAAACTCATTTTTCACTCCAAAATACAAAATACTAACATTTTAAAATACAATAACTCATCTCCAACTAAATTTCATTTCATAACACAAGATAATATTAGGTATATTCTTTCTCAAATCGAAAAAAATGACCTTCGTGAACAATACGATGTCAATATTAATATCCCACTATACACCTCCCAAAAACACTATGAATCTCGCATTCAATTGAAGCTACTAGAATCAAACACTTGTTTCACATTCAATTGGAGATGACCTTATGTAGCCATTGATTGAATACTTTTTTTTCTTATTTACCCTCACTCAGCTACAGAAAAAGTTCAGAACAGTAAAATATGTTCATGTTTCAAATAGCAGAACTTATGTTCATGTTTCAAATAGCAGAACTGGACATTAACTGCATGAAATGCTTCAGCGATGCAAGAGAAGGAAACTCCATAAACGCAAGCCCTTTGAGGCCACCGTTTCAATTGACAACAATAAGGTCTTACAACTAGCCAGTTCCACAGCTATGCTGAAGTTATCAGAAACAGAGTTACAACTCAACCTACTTCAGTCAGATCAGTTAAAAAAAAAAAAAAAAACTTCTACATGGAAGATAATAAAAAAATACAAAATAAAATCAAAAAGTAGATCTTATGAGGATTGGATTTCATCTTCAATAACACAGATTTCTTCTGCTTCAGAGCCCCAGTAATATGTAGTAGATCAGTGTGATAGGTAGAGCAATAAGCATACCAAATATAACACTGCAGGAAACATGCAGAATGTCAATTATTTTACTTAAAAACAATGCACAAATGAAGAAATAGATAAATATTTCTAACTTAAACGAGACAGCTTTCTTAATGCTTTAAAAAATAATTTTCTAAGAAAATTTTTTTTTTTATAAAGAAAAACTGCTTCAAAAAATCATGCACCTCATATAAACAATTATAAGTATTTTTTTTCTTTTAGCAAGTTACAAGAACTGAAACAAAATTTTGATGAATGAGAGGGTTCAAATCTGGAATTTGACAACTTTATTTTACTGTCTTTATCATTAGAGCACCTTTTCTTCCTAAACCTAGCTTAAATATTAATATAAACTTATTTAGAGTAAATCTTTTTTACTTTTCAAAATGCAACAATACTTTCGTTTTGCTATCATTTTCTAACGGCTTTCTCACGTTTAAAATTTTTCATTTGGAATGATTTTATTGATGCTTCTTAAATCAGCTTTTTTAGTAAAAAATTAAAAATTTAATACTAAAAACTACTTTAAAAAACAATAAAAAAATGGTCACAAAAGTAGCCTAAGATTTGATTAAAAAGTTTTCAGAAATATCTATAATATCCAAAAATAGATTTTAAAAAATTACTCTCACAATTGCTTCTCATTCGCTTCATAAAAAAACTACAATAGCCCTAAACGGACCCTAAAATTCTTTAACTAATAAATATATTTCGCATTTAAATCAAAAGTAAAAAAAAAAACGAAAAGAGCAGATACAAAGCCTAAAAAAAATAGAGATTTCCAAGTTCAAACCCTGTGCTCAGGATGTCAGGATGCACATTGTACTCCTTTGCAAAGACAAAAGGAACAATCCCCTGTGGAAGAGCAGCCTGCAACAAAAAAAGCTAAGAGAAAGTTTCAAATCAAAAAACTTATCAAAATCAAGTTTCAGAGATCCAAGCACCTGCACTATAGCTACATGCAGGAGAACTCCTCTAAGCCCAACAGCAATAGAGGCTGCTGCCATCACTGCAGGCCCGGTCACAAACCGAACAGCCATGGCAAATGAAGCAATACCATTTCCGCATGCAATAATCCTTGGCTGCAAAGCCATGAACAATCCTGCAACAACCACAGAGAAGATTTTAATACAGCCATGAACTTCAGAAGGCTTCAAAGCTATAGTAATGAAATCTACCAAGGCTAAACATTGCCATTCCAAGCCCTGCATCAGAGAGTATCGATATAGATCGGGCAATGATGGCTGGCATCTCAATCTCCCACCTATCATAATCAAGTTTTATCATTTCAGATGTCACACAAGCAGAGATTATGGCTTTGTTTGGGACCGCTTTTTTCCTGCTTCTTAGACCATCTCCAATCGAAAATCTCATTTTTCACTTCAAAATGCTATGAAACTAAAACAAATACCATGATTCATCCAATCGAACTCCAATTTTGCGAAGGTAACATTCTTTCTTATTTTCGCACGTTTCTTCCGCAAGTTAGGTAGAGACAAAAAAATTACGGAGATGAACAGTGCACCGCCAATATTGGTGTCCACTGTTCACCTGCAAGCAAATAGCATATGTTTTACCATTCTTCTGGAGCTCTGGAGCTCTGCATCAACGCCATTCAAGCATTTGGAGTTCGGTTAGAGATGTCCTTAAAGCAACTTTATAGTACAAAATTTAAATTTTTTACTTAAAAAATTGCTTTAAGAAGCAACAAGAAAGCCATGTCCCAAATAGAAGCCTATATATCATAAGTATTTGGTTTATCATTGATAGATGAAAACCTGAAGGAAACCAAGGACCAAGTGAGACCAAAGAGACTGGAGTAGGTATTGGGATTCCTTATGAGTTTCCTCCATACCATTATCAGAATTAACCTGGTCATCACACTGGTTGGTGGCATTGCAGCAGGCTTCAAGTCCCCGCCAGGTCCAGTCTTTGGGTGCAGCTCTGCGGTGGAGTTTGATCCCAACTTTGACAAGCTTGGAGCATCTCGCTCTAATGGATCGACGCCTTGAGCGATTGGTTGGTTTCTGAAGCTGAAATCTTCTCTGCTATACTCATTATAAGCATCATTGCCATCTGCTATCAACCAAATAAGGATACACCAACGAAAAATTCAACTTTGAAACCCCATGGCAAAGAGACGACATGGCGAAAAAGAACAGACAAAATTTCAAAGAAATGGAGTCTAAAGAGACAGCATTGGGTCCACAAACAGATGAGATGAGACAAGTTGAAATCTTGTAGAAGAGTAAACCTTTTTGGTGGCGATGGTCGCCCATTTGACCCATTCTTGCATGATCGCCTGCGAAATCTCCACCACGAAAGACATGGATGCCGCCCTCAGACACCGGGGACGCACTTGAGCTCCAAACAAACATATGCAAGTCTTTCCCTCCTTCGCAGGTATTCCCTTTCTTCCTTGCCCCAACTGGCGAGAATATCCCACTCACCGGCGGAGGAGGATATGCCGCAGGCACACCATTTACCCTCGTCGCTGGCGTTTCTTCATCAAAACCCAAGTTTCCGAAATTGGAATGCCGAGGGCTAGCTCCTGCCAAATTCTTTCCATTTACCATGGAGTAAAAATCCGTGTGGTTGAAGCTCGAGCCCCTCGGCGTTGGATTCCGAGAAGATTGTAGGGAGTAAATCTCAGCGTTTGTGAGATTAGACGGCCGGGGAGTAACAGAGTTCATACCATGTGAGCGACGGGAAAAGATCTCAGAGCGCGAGCTCGTTGACTTGCGAACTGTTACATGGAGCTTACCGTCTTCTCCAACCTCAGCCTCGGTCTGAAGCGGCTCTTTCCCATCTAACGATATAATGTCAGAGTCAACGCGGAAGGAGATAATGGATCCGGCTGTGTCAGGGAACTGCTCGGCGATGAGAAGCCGAGCTCCCCTGTACTCAAACAGGAAAAGCATGAGAGTGTACCAAATAATGCACTGGAGAACGACAATCTGAACCATTAGACTTCCGGAGTCCGGGCCGTACATTCCTTTGAGAAGCGGAATGCCCATGACCAGAGTGTTGGGGAGAGTAGAGAGGGAGAAGAGAGTGATTGCCCACTCAAGGCAGCCTCGGTGACTGAGATTAGCCCAGAAAGTGAGAGCACTGAGGACGATGAGTTTCTGCAGAGTGTCAGCAGCGATGAAGCGGTAGTTCATGGCGTAAGGGTTGTTGGTCGATATGAAGTGGAAGGAGAGGAGCGGAACTGCGAAGAGAGCGACGAAGCGATTGATGCCGGAGCACTGATCTGGAGAGAAGATCTTCCACCACTTGACGGAGCCGTAGGCAAGGATCATGGCGACATAAAGAGGAACAACAGCGGTGAGGACATGATAGAAGTCAGCCGCTGTTATCATTTTGGGAGAAGGTTGATGTTTCTTAAGGCTTGGAAGTGGAGACGAAGAGCTGGGCTATAAACTGTTTCGGTGAAACAGAGCAGGGGAACAGAGAGAGGGAGAACAGAAGAGGGGAGTACGATTAACTGAAAAAGTTGGCACCTTTAAGGTACGAAAGGAAGCTGGAAGAGCTGAGACAGCTGGTTTTCTTTTAAAATCCAAGACCTGGAACAGAGATGGCCCAACCCAGGTGGAAAACAAAGTAACAGGGGAAGCTAACCGTATGGAAGAACCGGTTATGGTAAAAGAAGTTAACAAGAGATCGACTTTTTAGCAGAGCAGATCAGCCCATTTCAGTGTTTGAAGAGATTTGAATGAGATTCTGTTTGATGGTGAAGCCCAACAAGAAATGGGAGTGGCTGAGAAGGAAGTAAGAGCTCAGCGCGAAGAAACAGTCTCAGATCAGGAGATTGAGGATAGAGCTTACTTTGCAGAAGAGGATGCAGAGAAGAGTGAAGCGATGAGTAGCGTGGACTGAGGATGAAGGGAATTATTTCTCCATATATTTATGTTGGGGTTTTTAATGGCAGACAAGAAAGAAAAGATCGGTTTAAGAGACGTCGGGAGTTGCGGCGAGCTCAGGGTCTGAGGCTTTTGTCTCCGTTGGAATTATGGAGATTTTAGCCAGTAGGAAGGAGCCGAGGCTTTTGAGTAATTTTTTTGTTTGCTAAGTTTAAATAAATTTCTAGTTATTAAAAGAAATAAATTATTTAATATTATTCAATTTAATTAATATTATATTTAAATTTTATATTATTAATCTTAATTAGATAAAATGTATTAAATACAATATTTTTAATTAGTTTTAAGCTTAAACTTCCTTTTTATACTACCTATCGAATAATTAGGAGAGTTAGATTTTTTGTGTGGGAGTTTATCAGTTTCATTAAATAAAAAATAAGTTGATTTGAGTAATATATTATGCATTGTATATGATTTTAAAGAGTTTTTCTATTGGTATTTAAATTTTTAATGTTAGAAAATAAATATCATAAACTAATAAAATTTTCATGTTTAATTATTTGATTCAAAAATCCGTAACTCTTTCAAAACTCATCTCAAAAAGTAAATTTTTTTATTTATTTTCACTTTAAAGATAAATAAATCACCTTTGAAAAATTATTTTTAACTAATAAGCCATAAGTAAAACATCTTTGGTCAATAAATTTATGAGAGAAAATATTGGATCAAGTTATTATGATGATAGAATTTTTTTCCAAAATGAGACTAGACTTCGTTTGAAATAACTTTCTTATTGTTTCTTAAAGTAGTTTTCTATTATAAAAATTAAAAATTTTGTACAAAAAATAGTTTTAAGAAGCAATGCGATGGAGCTTAAGACTTCGTTTGGGACAACTTTTTTATTGCTTCTTAAAATAGTTTTTTAGTACAAAAATCAAAACTATTTTAAGAAGCAATAAGAAAGCCGTCCAAAACGAAGCCTAAGACTTCTTTTGAGACAACTTTCTTACTGTTTTCTAAATTAATTTTTATTTCAAAAAGTTCTAGTTCTATAGATTTTTGCATTGAAAAATTATTTTAGAAACAGTAAAAAAAAACTACCCCAAATGAGGCCTAAATGAAAGATATGAAAAGAGGAGTTGTGAAAAAAAAGTAATATTCACAAGTGATTTACTTAGCATTACTTATAAAGTTAAAGTAGGTTAAAAGATTATAGGATACTAATTTATCATCAGCGCAAGCACTTAGATTAATTATATTTACAATGTGAGATACAAGAATGCTATTTAAAAAGAATAATATTTTGTACTCTTCATTCAATGTAAGTGCATCGAGATTATAGTTCCAATCAAAAGTGATAGACTGAAGTTGTAGTCAAGCACAAAGAGCCCCATGAAAAGATAAAGCCAAAAAAAACATTTGCATTATATCAACATGGTGATGTAGATACTTTTGCATGCTAGAAGGTTTGCGACATTAGAGGAAGAGAGTTTAACATCTTAGCATTGTATGAAGTTCAATACACATATAAATAGAAGTGGGTCACAAGGTACCCAAGTCCGTTTTTCTCAATGTTCTATTTTTTAAATATTTTATTGCTTGGGACCATTGTAACTCTTCAGGCTTGATTGGCTTGATTTATTTGGCCCATTTGATGCGCTACATCAATTACAACTCAAATATTAGAGAAGACAAGGACCCGCCTTTATAAATAATATTTTACATTATTGGAATGGTATGGGGTTTTCTTACATGCAAGAAAAAACAGTCTATTATCACCTTAATAACATGGAACATATACTTATCATCTTGTTTCCTCTATGATTTCAATAGTTCAAATGTCAAAAAAAAATATTCCTTAATTTTATAATGGAGACTATTGAGTCTATGCAGTTAATTTTAAAGAAGAATTTTTTGAAAGTTACTATAAAATATGAATTTATTTTTTAATAACATATATAAAGATTGAATTTCTCATTATAAATGTAATTGTGTTTTGAGATTGTGAATGTATTTCATTATAAATGTATGTTTCATTATAAATGTATATTTTATTGTAAATGTACATTGTCGTAAGTGTTTATTTTGTTAGTCATTATAATAATGTGTTATGTTACTATAATTATCATGATATATTATAAATTTCATTTATTATACATATTTAGTCGAATTATATTATTACCATTGTCATTGTAATATAATTCTATGTTAGTTATGTAATTGTAGAATAAACTATCATTAACTATGTATATGATGATTGTATGATTATTAGTTTGAACCATTCAAACTAGATTCAAACACATTATCCTTATTTTAGTTATTAAAAGATAATGGTGAGAAAAAGTCTTTTTTTTTTCATAAAAGAGAGTATCCATAAGAGACCAACACAAGCTAGTGTAGTTAATTAAAGACAAGAAACATAAGGTTGATGACATAAAGGTCTTAGTGGACAATATAAAGTTATACAATTAAGTTAGGTATAAATAAACATAGAAGGTTGATCAATAGATTGATAACAAAGTTGAAACCATAAGATGAGGCATGTACTAGTTATAATTTTTATTTTATTTTTTGGTGCTCACCAAAATTAGCTTGATATTTTTGATGAGTTAGATGAAATAACTTATTATTATAAATATTATTGTACATAGATCATGATGAGTTAAAATTAATGTTCCATTATGTAACCTAATAAAAATATGGGCCATAATTTTCTAAAGGGTTCAATTAAAAGTTGGTACAGAAGAGATTCATGGAGATAAAAGGCTTTTAAGTTAGCCATATATTACTCAATTTTTTTTTTTAGCCATATATTACTCAAATGATATTTAACAAGATTATGGGAAAATCACAAGAGAAGAAAGTAATTATTGATTTTGTATTGATTTTAAAATATAATAGGATACCTTACGAATAATGAAAGTGACATGCTCCAGAATCAATTTTGATAGAATTATCTATTTTATCTTTTTAATTATTTACCAGAGCTTATATTAATTATAAACATAAATTAAGTTATATTGCAAAAGCCATTGAATATCATATACCAAGAACTATTAAATATGTTATTCATCAAAATGACATTTACAATAGCATGGAGATCATTAACAATCACTAATCTATCAATAGCTTTTGACTATAAAAGAATAAGAGAAAATTGAACAAATTCATAAAAGAAGAACCTAAGACCCATTCCCTGGCCTAAAATCAGAAAAATCATATAATGAGCTTATAAAACCAATAGAAATTAAAACTCACTAAAGTTTTTAATACAAGGTCTAAGAAATCAATATGCATGCTCATCTCAATCAATAGAATCAGTAGCATTCAATATCATCACTGATCAGTTATCCCGAGTACGATTCAATATGATCAATAACGAAAAGTAAGAAATATCATGTTAAAATTCATAAATCAATGATAGATAGGAGAACACAAATACATCAAATGTTTAATTAATCAGTAATATAACACGAACATGTATGTATCAATATCATCAAGGTCATCAGTATTTTCTTTCTTACTAATTATTTATACTCATGAAATCACAAACATTCTCTATCTAGCAATGCTAGAAATTAATGTATGAATTATGTCAGTATATGATTCATTATAGGGTTCAATAAGACAGGACATTCAAATTTAATGCATTTTTTTATTCCATAATATGCATTTAGCATTATCATTATCATTATTATATCTTTATCATTTTATCATTTCAGGTGGCTTTAACTAAACATTTAAGAGTTGTCACTCTCTACCTGTCAGCATGATTTGATCATCAATTATAGACTACAACCAGGACAACACCACAAATAAACTGTAAAAGAAAGCTTATTGACCCACCCTCATGCATAGTATATTATATTTTAATAGCCAACCTAAATTAATTATAATGATAATAGCCAATCTTTATTGCTAGTATGCATGTACTATATTTATTTCATATTAGCTATATCAATGTCCCTTTCATACATGAAATACAATATGAAATGCTGAAATCTATAAATTTAGGAAATTTTTAAAATAATCTGTAGCTTCAAAAAATTAGAACTTTCATTTTAATGGTGAAATTCAATAATATTATATTTAAAATATCCATAAAGTTCATATATATCGTATACAAAAAGTTACCCATCAAAAGTGCAATGAATCATAATAAAATATATTTTTTTATTAATTTAGGAGAGATTAAAATTTTCAAATGCAAAATTATTGAAAACTAAAGTGAGATTCGGGTTGCTTACAACGATCTGAAAACTTTTCCTGACTAAAACAAAGCACAAATACGAGCAAAAGTTAGCTTTCGCTCTCCTCCCTCTCTCCTCTCCCTCTTCCTTCTCCCTTTCCTTCCTGAGCAAGCCTAACGCCGCAACGTGACATTTTGAATTCAAAATTATTGTAGAATAAAGACTCAAACATCGTGGAGGAGATTTCTAACGCTGATGTGCTATTAAGCCTATCGCTGCAGTGCTTCAAAGCACAACGTCTAAGCACTCTAGTTTAAACAAATATTCAAATTTTCATTTTAAAACATTTTTTCATATTTTGGGTTGCTAGAGGAAGCATGTTGAGGACAAGTGTTTATCGTAATGATTTAATATATTGATAAAAATAAGAATATTGATTGGTAAGGGAAAGAAATTTTTTAAAGTGGAAGATTGGTAAGAGATGTAGAGGCACATCAACTTTCAATAAAAATGTAGTATAATATAAAACCAATCATATTCTTGTATGCATAACCTAAAGAAAGATGAGAAAATAAAGTAGCACCAAAAAATGGTTGAGAAACAATAGAGTATATGTTGCATTTTATTTTATGTCACATTTTTCTTTCTTTGCTTATGTTGTGTGTTATTTTGGTGTAACCTATGTTTTCATTCTCTTGGTATGCAAATTGAAAGACTTACGGAACTACATTATATGTATTATAAGTGAAAAATATTGAAGGATTTTGCATGTCAATGAAAACATTCAAAGGATACAAACAATATGCCAATATCCCTTATTTCAAGATAATGATGGGTAACTCAATTTAGAAGTAATGTGATTATGATCTTTCACTCCACATCAACTACATCTGCATTGCACCGCAACTCTTTCTCTTATTAAGGCCCATTATTTTTCTATGAACAGTCACTCTTTAACTTTATTATAGAAAGTAAATTGATAATATTAATTATTTGTTTCTTCTAAAATCTTGAAAGTGTCCTCATTTTCTTTTTGATATATATATTTTCATAGTAGAAACTCAATCATGCTCTTTTATTATAAAACATTAAGCAAAGACTATTGTAGCTAAAGCCTTGATCATAATTTGGAGCCAATTCATATTCACATAGAATATGCACTACATAAAAATTTTATGCATTTATATGTCTTATTATGCAAATCAACCTCTCCACGAAAATTGCCATCATGGTCATACAAATCAAATCAATCAATGTGGGATAAACCATCAACATTTGAGCCTTAATTAGGAGCTTGCCCAAAACTTCCAAATCTCTCTTAACAAAATATATTACACATTAGTCATGATGGTGCAATTTTCAAATGACTTTTTATATTACATATCATATGAACTCTAATAAGATGACTACATGATAGAGGTGCAATATCATAGTGTGTTAGTACTTCTAGAAAGAATTATTGCCATAAATAGTACTCCAACAATATGAAACTTTACCTCCAACTTCAAATATAATTTGTTTTTTTCAGTTTTTGTGATTGTATAAATAAGATCTCAGAAATTTTCAAGGATAATAATTTTCGTACCATTAATTTGTGGCTCTATTTTTCAGTAAATGTCTAACAAACTTTACTATTTTTTTTTTATTCTCGCATATACAACATAAGAGCATTGATGTTTGATTCACTTTCAAGAAAAGTATTTTAAATAATAACAAATGCAATCTTAATGTTTGGTTTGAACATGGTTAAAACATTATTCGCATAAAAGTCGAATCTTCTTAAACTAGTTTGAGCATTATTCAAATCGAAATCAACTGTGGTTGAAAGACTTTCGAACAAAGGCTGAACATATATTCAACATAATTCAAACATCGTAAAACAAAAGTCGAATCTCGATAGAGTAAAGTTTGAATAAGTTTGATTATTGTTCAAGCTGGATTTGAGTCAAACTCGAGGCAGGTTTGAACCTCTTTTGAGCATTGATCGAACATGATTTGAACTTATAATTTAGACGCTCTATCTGACTGCACATTCATATTATTATCAAAATAACGTCAACCCTAATTTTAATATTTTCTTCCTCTTAGCCAAATATCATATAAAATATTAAAGAATCTCACAAGGAAATAATGAAAAAATACATAATCTCTATTAGAGGGCGTAATTTTAATATTTAATAGGGGTATATTCATAAAAATAATTATAACATATCATATTAAAATGAATTATTATTTAGATTTAAAATAAAGAAACCTTATTTTACCGAAGCCCAGTCCATGCAATTGCCTTAGCAGCTGTGCTACTCACAAACCAACGCATAACAGAGATGAGCTCATCTCTGAACTCTCGCAGGAGAGTGAAAGAGAGAAGATGAAAGGAGAGGTAAAACAAAGCCATTGAAGGTGCAGACGAAGACCAGCAAGAAAGTACGTGCTATGAGTAGCCCAAAGCCTTTGTCGACTGCTTCGAAAAAAATAAAAAATGGAATCTTTGCCGGTAGCGTAATCACCCACGCATGCCTTCTTTCTCTCTCTTACACTAGAGATTATTAAGTTTAAAAGCATAGTCACCAATGCATTGTTATTGAGCTTTCATTGTTCAAAGTCACAAAATTAAACGGTTTTGTATGTCCGGACTCAGCGCATAATAATCTCTACTCTCATACATAAGGAGAATTATTTTTAGAGGTGTTAAAATGTATTAAACAGCTCACTTTTAGGGCTCATTTGTTTGTCCGTTTTTCCTGTTTTTTTTGGTCTGGAAACCATTAAGTAGAAAAAAAATTATTTATTTGATGAAACTACTTTCTTTAACCCTGAAAATCGTATTGTTTTCAAAAGCTTTCTGATGTCAGCTTCTTCGTTAGAAAACTATGTTCTCTCAAACAATTTTAAAATAACCTTTGGGAAAGTTGCAAAATAACAAAACAGAGCCTTAGGCTTCCTTTGGTACCAACTTTTTACTGCTCCTTAAATCAATTTTTTAGTTCGAAAATTGTATGAAATAAAGAGGTATGCATGTAAATCCCCAATGTAGCTCAGTTTGGTCTATTGATTGAGAGCTTTAATTACCAGTTACGAGGTATTGGGTTCGAATCCTACATATGTGATGTATGTATGAGTTTATCTTAATTGACCTAAATATTTCAAAATAAAATGTATTTTTTATCTAAAATTATCCAATATATATCCACAGCTACAATGTGGTTCATTTGCTTAAAAAACATGTCAAAAAAGGTGGATAAAAACCAACCCGCTTTTAACCTGGATGAGCTAAACCCTACCCAATATCCCATCTTAATCAAAAATAAATTTTTGTATGACTTGTAAAATATAGATTTTTGGTTAATTAAAAATAATAAAAAGAGTACACCAACAAGCAAAATAAATTAAGGAAAAAATTAAATCAAAATTAGGTTTATGGTTCAATATGAATTCATCACGTTGATTAAATTGGTTGAAATATTGAACTCAAACCCAATCCATTTAATAAACGAGTCAATTTAAACCAAATTTTTTTAGATTGGACCCAAATCTAATAGACAATTCAGATCAGTTATTAACACCTATAGTTATTGCCACTCTCACATATCTCATATGTTCTTCATAGTTTAAAATAGTTTCAAAGCTTCGTTTGGGATGACTTTTTACTGTTTTTAAAGCAGTTTTTTTTTCTATAAAAATTTCTTAAAAAAAAATTATTATATTAAAAAATTATTTTAAAAAAATATTAAGAAAACCGCCCAAAAGAAGTCTAAATAAAAAACAAAATCAATTTTGGAGAGAGAAAAAGAGAGTTAAAGGGCTGTTGGTGGAGAATGCTGTCTTCTTTATGACTTTGAGGCTTTTGCGGGGTTTGCAGGCGGCGCCGCCCGAAAGGGAGGCCATTTATAAGTATCTTCTTCTTTATTCGTCAAAAAAGCTACTTGAGAGACTCTACAGGGCATCATTTCCTGCAAAAGGAAAAAGGAGAAGAAAGAAATTAAAGCTTTGCATAAAAAAAAACATAATAATTACACATGTGAATAGAACGTGGAATCATTATCAGGGAGGAGAAAAATCTAAGAGCTTTACTGAGCTTGCTGTTCTTAAAATGATTTCTGTATTTGCTGAGGCTTTCTTCATCATATGAGTGGGGCCGATCTCTTCGATCTCAACTACATCATTAGATTGCTGAGACAACTTATTTAGCAAAATATGCAGATAATATTAAGCTTTCTACTTCTTTCTAAAACAGTTTTTTTAGCACAAAAAATTATGGTAGAAAGATCTTCGAGAAAATAATAAAAAAACGGTCTCAAATAAAGCCTAAGTTTTTATTTGAGATGGCTTTCTTCTTTCTACAACAAAAATTTTAATTTTTTAACTAAAAAGCTCCTTGAAGAATTAACAATAAAGCTGTCAAAAATTAACAAAAAAATTAAGGAGTGATTAAAAGCAATAAATTAACTGATAACTACTTAGGTAATCATAATAACTTTTAGAATATATATCTAGAGAGTGCATTCATGAAGTGCACTTAGAGAAAAGATATATGAAAATTAGCTATAATTTTTTCTATTAATGTTAATCTATTTAATTAACAAGGAGAAAAGTGCTACTTTCATTGAGACACCATTGGTTGGAGATGAAGAAGTATTTTTATTAGATATCCATTAAAAAGGGCTTAATAAGGATATTCTCTACATTGATGGGAATGACCTATTGATATCGCTGCTGGATCCGTCGAAACCTGGTTGAAAGAATCGCAAGCCAAAGCAATGGAACAGGGAAGATGGACCTGTATGCTCCTGATTCTGTATATTAATAAAAGGGATAAAAAGTTGTCTAATGAGCTCCGTGTCTCCTTCTCCTATATGAATCTTTTCTAATTAAAAAAAAGGCAGAAAATACTATAAAAGCAAAATGCAACAGAAAAGCAAACTATTGGAGCAGTTAACGAAAATGGAATAATCGGTAGTGGGAAGCGTATCTGGTTGTTAGCCCATGTTGAGGTGCCCCGCTGGAGTAGCATAGTGCATCAATCCTCCCCTGGCTCAGAAGAGCTCGACTCCGACGAGCTAACACTGATGACACCCTCATCTGGTGGAGAGTATGCCCAAATATCCGCGACATTGAAAGTCGGCGAAGTGTTGCACTCAACCGGTAGTGCAACAGAGTATGCATTGTCGTTTATTTTGGCGGTAATGGGGATAGGACCAATTTTGCGACGAGAGAGTTTAGAATAGGTGCCCGGCGGGAACCATTCTCTACGTAGTCTGACCATGACCAGGTCGCCCATGTTAAACAAACGTTGACGCCTGTGTTTGTCGGCAGCCTCCTTGTACCGCTGATTGGATTTGATAATTTGGCGACGAACCTCAGACAACATTTTCGCATAATCACCAGCGAAAGTAGCAGCAGCTTGGGACTTACATTTGGGCAAAATGGAGAGATCAAGAACTGTATTAGGAGGCTTTGTATAGACGATGCTAAAAGGCGTCTTGCCGGTAGTCCGACTGGTCATAGAGTTATAGGCAAACTCTGCCTTACTCAAATCTTCTTCCCATTACCGAGGATGTTCTTGAACCAAACACCGGAGTAAATTACCCAACGTGCGGTTGACGACCTCGGTTTGACCGTCAGATTGCAGATGATAAGCCGAACTGAGACGAATGTCGGTGCCGAGTCTCTTCCACAGTTCTCTCTAGAAGTTACTTATGAATTTCACATCTCGATCAGAGGTTAGGCTACGGGGTACGCCATGTAGGAGACAATTTGCTAAAAAAAAAAAAATGTTAGCAATCACCATGGCATTGGAGGTCTTTCTACAAGCAAGAAAATGAACCATTTTTGAAAAACGATCAACGACAACCATAATTGAATCGTTACCTTTCTTAGACCGTGGGAGTCCTAAAACAAAATCGAGGCTGAGATCCTCCCAAATAGAATTAGGGACGGGTAATGGCATGTACAAACCCGTATTTTGAGCACCGCCCTTGAAGCTTTGGCAAACGGGGCAGCTATCAAATATGCAGAAGACATCATGACGGAGTCGAGGCCAGAAGAATCGAGCTTGCAGCTGTCGTAAGGTATTATCTCGTCCCACATGAGCTGCTAGAGCACCAGCATGAGCTTCACGAATCAGATGTTGACGCCAAGATGAAACTGGGACGCATAAAAGATTATGCTTGAACAAATAGCCATGCCTTATAGAGTATTCAGCCCCCGAAGATTGTTCACGACATTGATTCCATATTTGACCGAAGTCGGGATCTGAAGCATATAAATCTTTAAGGAGTTCTAGACCCGTCAATTTAGTTTGTAAAGTGAGCAATAAGTTCCTTTTCCGACTCAATGCGTCAGCCACCCTGTTGTCGGAGCCCGATTTGTGATTACTAGTGAATGAGAATCGCTGTAGGAACATGAGCCAATGAGCGTGCATGCGGTTTATCGATTTTTGACTATGAAGATACTGGAGTGCTTGATTGTCACTACAGAGAATGAAATATTGATGTAGTAGGTAGGATTCCCACTGTTTTAAGGCACGTATGACGACGTATAATTCTTGCTCATAGGCGGCCCATTTTTGTTGAGAGGAGCATAATTTCTCACTGAAGAATAATATCGGCTTGTCGTCCAGCGAGAGAACCGCACCAACGCCAATTGTGGAGACATCTGTATCCACCGTGAACAATTTGTCAAAGTTTGGTAAGGCCAAGACGGGGGCGGTGCTGAGGGCAAGCTTAATGGTAATAAAACTGTTATGCTGATCTTCATTCTAGATAAACGTCTTAGCTTTAAGACAATCAGTTATTGGAGCCATAATCATGCTAAAATTTTTTATAAACTTGCGATAGAAGTTAGCTAGACCATGGAAGCTTCGAACCTCAAAGAAAGTTTGCGGAACTGGCCAATCTGTGATGGCTGCTACTTTCTTGGTATCCATCTGAATGCCACGATCGGAGATCACAAAGCCAAGAAAATACAATGTGGATACTCCCAGATCGCATTTTTTGTATTAATGACGAGCAGCTGCATCTGTAGGGTCTTAAATAAGATAGCGTGATGTTCCAAATGCTGCTGCCATGCGATACAGTAGACTAAGATATCATCGAAATAATTAATACAAAACTTACCCAGAAAGGGTTTTAAATCTTCATTCATCATGCGCATGAATGTGGATGGTGCGTTGCAAAGGCCAAATGGCATTACTTTCCACTCGAACAACCTCTGCGGCGTTTTGAAAGCCGTCTTCCATTCGTCTCCAGGGTGAATATGGATTTGGTGGTATCCGCTCAGTAAGTCCAGTTTGGAGAAGATAGAAGCTCTGGTCAGCTGATCTAGCAATTCGTCTACGCGCGGCACCGGAAATCGATATTGAATAGTTATTTTGTTAATAGCCTTGCTATCTATGCATATCCGCCAAGTACCGTCTTTTTTGGAACTAACAATGCTGGGACGGCACAGGTACTCACACTAGGTTGGATCAGCTGTTTTTCAAGTAATTTGTCCACCAAATCTTGTAAGATACTCTGCTCCTTAGGATTGAGTCGGTAGTGAGGCAAGTTCGGTAAACTGGAACCGGGAACAATATCAATTCTGTGTTGGATGTTGCGGAGAGGTGGCAGTTTTGCAGGAAATTCTTCCTGTGTGATACCTGGATGTCGTTGCCGGATAAAAGGGATATTACTAGACAAGTTACAGAATTTCAGCCGTCCAGGTTTTATCGTCCACAGCAGACGTGTGTTCAGTAATCAGCAAGGCATATATAGGTGCGTGTTCTCTCCAACATTGCAGCAGTATGGATCCCGAGACAAAATGTAAGGCATTTGAATTTGATGAGCCAGGTATAGCCATGCTATCACTTGAGCTAGGTAATAGACGTAATCGACGGCCCATCCATTCGATAATATATATATTAGCACATCAATCATATTGGGCTCCAGCGTCGAACTGCCAAGGTCTTCCCAAAATAAGGTGACAAACGTCCATGTCGACGACATCGCAAACCACCTCGTACACGTAGTGTTTGCCTATAGAAAACTGAGGCGGCAAGATTCAATGACTGCAATTTCCACACCTTTTTTAACCCAGCTTATTTTTGTAACGATTGGCCCTCTTGGATGTGTTTAACTGCAAGTTTTGGACTACAAAACTTGAGACAACGTTCTCAGTACATCCACTGTCGATAAGAAGCTCGCACACTTTTCCCGCAATTGTGCATCTGGTCCTAAAGAGTGCATGTCTTTGGGATTTCAGGTTCTGTCTGAGAGCTAATAAGACCCGCTCTAGCACCGGAACCAATGGCTCGCCATCGTCTGCGTACACATCCTCCACATCCCCTTCACTTGCGAAGTCAATTTCGACCGACCAGTGTCGTCCCCCATCTCCGTGAAGTTTGCTTGTTTTTGTTGGGGGCTCTCATTGGATTTATGACCCTGTTGAAAACAACGAAAAAAATTAATAGTAGACAGTTTAGCATATGGGTTGTCTCTACCTTGTGGCTTTGCTTTCAGTTGATTGTTAGGCTCCGAAGTGGTATTTGGAACAATGGCAGGGCTAGAATTTGTAGCTGATACTTGCGGTGACTTGTCTGCCGGCGAGAAGTTTTTGCTGTAATTAGGCCTTTGCTTAGTCCAGTGCTTCCGACTATAGGCAGCCTTAGGCCGGCTTTGTTGCATCTCCGCTTTCATGGCAAAATTCACTGCTTGAGCCAGTGACCAAACTGAGTTCAATTCGAGTTTGTCCTGGATGCTTTCCTTGAGGCCGCTGATATAGCGAGCTACCAATTGGTTGGCCGACTCGTTCAAATTGTTCCTCACGCTCAATCTGTTGAATTCCTCAGTATATTCACTAACGGATCTGGTTCCTTGCTCGCAATGCTGATACCACATATAGAGGATTTGTTCATAATCAGTGGGTAAGAATTGGGCGCGCAAAAGTTGCTTCATACGGTTCCAATTTCAAACCGATCCTTTACCACCACGTTGTTGCAGCTGTAGAGTTTGAGCCCACCATGCGCTAGCTCCCCCTTTTAATCTACAAGCAACATACTTCACTTGTTTGCTAGGATCGATCTCCATATAATCAAAAAACTTTTCGACAGCCTTTTCCCAATCGAGGTAATCCTCAATGTGCAGATGACCATCAAAAAATGGAATATCTAATTTAACTTTGAATTCATTTTGACGGAAATGCCTCTGCCTATGATGCTCACGGATTTCAGGATAAAAGTGGTTACTGAATTCATCTTCTCCGGGCTCAGCTGTCGGAATACCTCTGTAAAACAAGTTATCCTCCTCCGAATCCGACAATTCTTGTAACATTGCCGAATCGTGATTCCATCGTCTATCCATCACCATTTCCCTTCTTCTCATCGGCCTGTTTTCTATCACTGGTAACTCAGTTCTGTGAATCCGGGGTAGAGGTGGTCTCGCCCTAATGAGATTGAACTCGCGGCGAGCTTCTACCGTCAATCGCTGCACTTCGGTGGCGAGATCATCGATTCGACGATTGGTGTTTTCCTGGTTTGCCCATAGTGAATCGAGAGTCCTTGATTCTTCGGATGCCGTTGCTTTGCCGTGATCCGCCATCTCCTCACTGGTTTTGGTTTGGCTCTGATACCAACTCTGATGTCACTGTCGAATCCGTCGAAACCTGGACGAAAGAATCGTAAGCCAAAGCAATGGAACAGGGAAGACAGTTGTATGCTCCTGATTATGTATATTGATAAAAGGGATAAAAAGTTGTCTAACAAGTTATGTGTCTCTTTCTCCTATATGTATCTTTTCTAATTTAAAAAAAGGCAGAAAATACTATAAAAGCAAAATGCAATAGAAAAGCAAACTATTGGAGCAATTAACGAAAATTGAATAATCGATAGTGGGAAGCGTATCTGGTTGTTAGCCCATGTTGAGGTGCCCCGCTGGAGTAGCATAGTGCATCACCTATACATGAACAAGAACAGTGGAAAGAAAATCCTAACTCAATACACCATCACTAGATATTGCATATCATTATTATACTTAGTAGCTTAGAGAAAAAGCTCCCAAGATGTTTAGCTAGAAATATAATGAAATGCTTTTAAGCAATGATATTTTGTCATTACTAACAAGTAAAGATGTAATTATATTCACATTTTATATTTTAAATATTCATTTAAGATAATTTTTAGTGTTAATTAACTTTAAATGTTACATTGAATTATTTTTATAAGTTATATTTAGACTTATATTGGTGCACATAGTTGATGAAGAAAACTTTATAAGTTTAAATACATACTACTAGTTAGTCTCTCCTTGTTAAGGTTGTGAGGAATAAAGAGATCCCTACATGTTTTATACAAGAGTGTGATGATTACATTAATAAAGAAGTAGAAGAGGAGGTGAATGAAAGATCAAATATAAATTATTTTGTCCTTCTCTAGCCAATTTATGCCCTCTAGCTAATTAGTTGAAAAAGCTTTTTGTAGTTATTAAGTAGTGACATTGAAGCATGACCAACTTTGTTTGAAGAATAATCAAT